GGGTCCTGGTGCCAGAGCAGCCGCAAGCGCTTGTGTGCCTGCCCAAGAAACAAAATGGGGGTTTTGTGATCCAGAAGTAAGATTTCTACTGCTCCAGCAGCTCCTGACCCCTTTCTTTGGCTGGGCAATCAGAAATAAAACGGCTGTTCCTCAGGCAGATGTCCGTCATCTGTCAGAGAATCACAGAATCACGTGGGAAGGGAGCTCTGGGGATCACCCAGTCCAGCCCCCCTGCCAAAGCAGGGTCACCTACAGCAGGCTGCACGGGACCTTGTCCAGGCAGGTCTTGAATATCTCCAGAGAAGGAGACTCCACAACCTCCCTGGGCAGCCTGTTCCAGGGCTCCGTCACCCTCAGAGGGAAGAAGTTCTTCCTCATGTTCAGACAGAACTTCCTGTGCTTCAGTTTGTGCCCATTGCCCCTTGTCCTGTCGCTGGGCACCACTGAAAAGAGTTTGGCCCCATCCTCCTGACACCCACCCTTGAGATATTTATAAGCATTTATAAGGTCCCCTCTCAGCCTTCTCTTCAACAAGCCCAGCTCCCTCAGCCTTTCCTCAAAGGACAGATGCTCCAGTCCCCTCACCATCCTCGTAGTCCTCCGCTGGACTCTGTCCAGTAGTTCCTCATCTTTCTTGAACTGGGGAGCCCAGAACTGGACGTAGTACTCCAGTATCCTTTGGATGATATTTTAGTTCTCCTCCTGCTTATTCATCCCCTAGTCTGCCTCACGCATTTCGGGCTGAAAGATTCTCTCCTGCCATCACCGTGCTATAACTTCACCCTCAGTGAAGTTACTTTCTAACAAAGCCAGTGAGTAAGAGTTGCGGCTGGAGGCCTCAGGCAGCTGCTCGGACAGCTACAGAAATTCTCACGCCTGACATTTTCTGTTTTGCAGTTCATATAATGATGTAGCATTAATTCACATACTTGATTATCAAGTTCCCAATGGGCAGAGTTATGGCACCTTAAACCCTCAAAGAAACTGGATGGGATGACACATTTCAAGACATCACTAATGAGCTTTACAGAGCCCTCCATCTTATCCTGATCTGGTGTCCAACAGTGTGAGTTCATTCCAATTCAGCAGGGAGAGAAGTATTCTGACGTAGGATACGTTTGATCACAAGATAATAAAGTTGGGGGGATTTCACACTTAGACTTCAGCTCATATTTTCTTCTCTGTAAGTTCTTATATCCTGTTCATTTCCATGTCGTGCCTTGATCACAGCCTTGTAACAGCTCTCACCAACGACTCCAAAACTTCAGTTACAGAACACGAACTTTGCCACTGGATCAAAGTGGAAATGTCAGGAAAGTCAGTGTGAGTTTCATACCTCTCTGCTAACACAGGTCTTTGTTAAGGTAAAGGCCTAATCAAACATAGAGGCCATCTTCTACTAACAGGAAATTCACATATAAGTTTAGACAAGGCTGCAGGATTGTTTTTGAAACGAACAAATTAATTCATTAAATCATTTACCTCGGATGTAGCACACGGAACTCCCCACAGCCACTCTGCAACTGTCTAATTGTATTGCTATGTACAGGATAGAAGCAAGGAGGTGCCACTGAGTTAAAGCTACGAAGTTTTGTGGAGATAATGAGGCACAAAGGAGCAGAAGTGGTTAATGCACTTTAGTTTACTCCCCAGTACTTGTCCTGGTCTGTCTGACTCGGTAAGTAACAAATCCACGCTGAGGACAGGGCTGTTCACACAGCTGGTTGGACGTCACTGCTGCATGGCCCAATGTCACCCCCC